CTGTAGCAGGTATGCTTTCTCTGTTAAGGCTTCTTCGAACAATAAAATGATCTGCTGGAAGCACAAACTCCTGTAGATCAAACCCAGTACTGTTTCATTTTTCACGTTCCATACATCTATTCTGTCTTTTTTGTATTTCATTATTTTATCTTTTTAAATTTTTGTACAAGGATGTGTCGTATGTTTTCTGTATCTGCCGAATTTATAATAAATATATAAATAAATTTTTTTTTTCTTCTGTTATTTAAGGACTAACTCTGACACATAAAAATATATTGCATTTATTGATATTCATATTGAGTGGATGTAAATAATTATAAATAGATATCATGTTTGGGACTTCTGAGGCATAGAAGCATGGGCTTTTTTAGAAGTTCCTGGACGTTTTTTAAGGCATACGTAATACATAAATAAAAGATAAAATACTGTACTTACCTGAAGTAGGCTCTGAAGTGACTGATGAGGAATTCACATTATTCCCTTAAAGAGTAAAATTAAGTGCATAAAATAGTTATTTACTTTAGTACCTAAAATAAAACCTTAGAATACAATTGAATGTTCACCAAACCAAATTGATATTATATAAAAGACGTGTTGTCATGCGAGTCTACTTAGGACTTCGCAAGTAAAAAACGTGGTATTTCTTTTAATTTGCTAGTTTTGGGTGTCTTCTACTGGACCATAATGTCAAGACTCTAGAAGATATACATATAATTATTGTATGTATATTTATATAATTATTGGAGTCGTATATGTGCCTACCTCTGCCTGCTTCTGCCGGGGCCTCTATTTCTGAAATTTGTAAATGAAAGATTGTAATGATCAATAAAATACCATACAGTAAAGTTAATAGTCCCTCATCTATATCGCTGATCACCTAGTAATTTTATATTTGACCTGATTGTAAAAAAAAACATAACAGCACAAGTACAATCAATTGTGTGATATATTTTGTAAGAACTTTTTCATTAAAATTTAAACAAGATTAGAGTCACGTACATACATATTAATGGCAGCTCCGGGCATAAATTTTCTCTTCATTATATGTTCAAGTGTATCAAAAAAAGTATATTCGTTCATATTTGACAATTTTTTAAGAGTGTGGTTGTGGAGAACAAATGGTTGGAAGTTACAGACAAATTCTAAACTGGGGGGATAGCTGAAAATCCACTTTCTATATGCTATTTTAACAGTGCAGAACATTTGTAGAATACCTGTTTTTAAACTGCATTTTTTTTTTATCTGTAATGAAAAAATTTGAAATAAATGACTATTTATAGGTAAAATATATGAATTTTTCATTTCTGATGTTTTTAGCTACTGAAAATTGCATATTTTTCCGTATAAGTAAACTATCCACTTTTATCCACTCGACTTTTTCAAAGCAAATGGTCGTATGCGGCTCTATACACTTTTGGTTGGAGTGAATTATCCGGAATTATTTGGTAGCAGGTCACAATAAACCAAAACGGCGGTGACCAAACGGCAATAAACAAAATGGCAATAAACCAAAACGGCAATGATAAGTACCAAAACAGCAACAGACCAAAACGGCAATGACAAATACCAAAACAACAATATACAAAGGAGTAAAACCAATACCAAGAGCAAGCGCCGCCAGGCGCAGGACTAATTGTTTAGATGTCTCATTTTGTCTTTATTTTAAAGTTTTATGTTGTTGTTGTTGCTGTTACATTGAAATATTGATTGGTATGTCCAAAGACAAAATGCTGTTAAGCATGTCAAGATGGGAAGGGTTATAACTACAGAAAAGACCTGATGGAAAGTGTCTTCAGCAGAGCTATTAGTGGTTAGTACTGTGCATTTTAAAAGTATGTAGCAATATAAACTCTCATCTGGGGCTGTTGAAATAATTATCAGCATATTGTGAAAAAAAAATTTGAGAATGTACCGTGTACCACAAAAAATGCAACACAATAAGTGTAGAGCCTATAATAAAAATCAAATATCCAATTATTGAAGATATTTTTGATAGCAAGATAGCCTAGATTTTTAAAGTATATTTTGATTATCTGTTTTGCTAACTAGAAATCAAGCGGCTGATTAATGCTTGTGGAGTCGAGGAGAAAGTGCGTAAAACCACCAGACGCATGAAACCAAGCAACTCTCAAGATTTCAACAAAAATGTAATAGAAGCAATAGAAGCAATACCAGCAAAACCTTAATTCACTGAAGTACTCACTAGTGGTCAATATTTACTTGTCATAACTATACAAAGGTCTTAAAATATTCTACAGTAATTAGTTCTGAAGACCCTATAGAGTGAGATTTGTTAGCTTAGCTGTGTGTGCATTCAGAGCTTGGCCTGCAAAGAAATAATAGTCGCGATTTAAAATTATCACAACTGAATTGAAATTCCAAAGAAAGTGTAGGGAAGCTAAGTATCATTTATAGTAATATTGCCTCATATCGCACACAGCATACAATACCTATTTTATGTGATTCCTGAAATGTTATCCTCTCATCACATGTGTTCATTTATAAAAAGAAAAATCCTTGTTTGCAACATGTTCAGATTGTCTACTCTACCATTTAAAGTAGCGCATCAAGTAAGGAAGTGAGCGTGGCCCCTATTTTGCATATTTAAGCTAATTTCCATATGAACGAGACTGGTGATTAAGGTGAGATTTCTGAAACTTGATCCCTAATCATATGTGTTATTTTATAAAAGAAAAACTCTGTTTTCAATATGTTCATAATGTCTAGCCTACTGTTTAAAATATTTCCAATGAAAAAGGGGGCGTGGCCATTTAAAAATGGGTGTGGTCATTTTTGGGCTGTTCGTCCCGGATAGAGATTTTAGCACACATCCCATGTTGTTTGTATAGGGTTCATATTAGTCTATAACAGTTGACATATTCTCTCCTAAATTAAGTGCATACAAATCTTAGCCAGGTCCTCGACTACGTATGTAATTATCTTACCGATGCGTTTTGCAGGCTAGTGTCACAAATTCCACAGCAGCACGACCGTTTCACATTCTCACAGTGTCAAGTGTATGTACAGTGTATTGGTTGAAAGTAAGTGTGTTGTAGTTGTTTTCTCATCTGTCACCCTTGGAGAAAATTTTTACCTACAGTAGCTAGTGAAGAAATAGTATCACTAGATTTTTGCGGTTTTGAGCAAATTTTTTACATTCTCGTTTTCAGCCATACTGGCATGTTTTTTCGTTGCAATTACTCACATGATATGTTATAATGAAGTATTTGAACACATAATGAAGAGAAAATCTATACCCGGAGCCGCCCTTTAATGCATTTATCACTAAGCACAAAAAGAATGTATGTGCGCTGTCAAATCATACTACATGGTATTAAACAGAGTTTTAAGTAGTCATAATTTAATGAATAATGCTCTAACACTTATCATTTATACCGAATTTCAATGTTGAGAGGCTGAATACATACTGTACCTAGTGTGGATTTAAAGAACTTGCTATTCTAGCCACTACTGATGTGTCAATGCATTCTATGTAATTTCTCTTTATTAATGATTCAACTTTTTAAAAACCATTCACTGAGAAACATGATGCACAAAATCTAGACACAAGAATAATGATTTTTTTTTATCACTTAATTTATACATAATTTCTTATTAATCATTACATTTACAGTACTTGTTCACACTAGCTTGGTCATGTTTGTATTTCTGTGATATATACTATATATATATTTATAATTATTCATGTAGCATATTTTTTTTCTGATCATAGATAATAGAGTTATCCATTCTCCCATGAGTATTATCTTCGATTTTCATTATACAGTATAATAATTCTAACTATGCTTTAAAAAAAACATTAAAAATATTTCTTTCTTTGAAAATACTTAATTCAAATGGTAACATTGATGAATAAATAATATTAAAATATGAATCAATAACAATGTGCAAAAACTTAATCCTTCCAAAATTCAAAATTTTCATTTGAGAGAGAACTTGCTATCCTAACCACTGCTGAAGTGCCAATGCATTTTATGTAATTTCTCTTTATAAATGATTCACCTTATTTAAAACCATTCATTGAGAAATATGATTGCAAAAAATCTGGACACAAAAATAAAGATTTGTTTTTTTATCACAAGTTATATTTATCAAGTTTGTATTTTCTGTGATATAGCATAGATTTATGTAGAATATATTTTTTCTGATCATGGATAATTTTAATAATTTAAAATTAATAATTTTAATCAATAATTTTTGTTGTACTGTACCTTTTGTAAATGTGTATTGGTCGAATAAATAAATGAAATGAATGAAATTGAGTTATACATTCTCAAATGAGTATTATCTTTGATTTTCGTATAGTACTTTATACATATCCTTCAAAAAAATTCCTTTCTTTGACTTTGACAAAACTTAATTTAACATTGACAAATAAATGATATTAAAATACGGATGACTAATGTGTAACAAATTAATCCTTCCAAAATTCTAAATTTTCATTTGGGGATGTTAAGTCAAATTTATTCATGTAGAAAACAAATGTAATAACATTGTGAAAAAAAATTGACTAGGGAAAATAACTTTGCATTAAAAACAAAAAATACCTGGTGGAAGAAGAGGTGAAGCATATCCAAGATCAGTGGACTCCCTGTCTCTGGGCCGTGTGTTTTCACCATGGTCTTGTCCAGTTGCTTCTGCAGTGTAATATAGTGATTATTTAAAAACTAAATTTTTGCTTCACCAAATCGTTAAAAATTGTTGTTTTAACATTGAAAATGGCTAAATAATAGCGTAGCATGATATGTATAGATATAAATGTAGTTTTATGCAATAAAATAGATTTCCAAAACTTTTGACTTTCCAGCATGTTTTGGCAAATATCTCCAAAACAGGATTTACGACGTGTGACTCGGTTTTGGCTTGTTTTTGCCACATATGCTGTGATATATGTGATACTATAAACTCAATTTTTAATTCCCAAGCTAAGTAAAACAAATATCACATATTTTCGGTTAACGTTTGTGGCTTAATTTGCGGAGCAGTAGTATAGAAACAATTGTTCCAAATAACTAATTCTATTAGTACAGCTTTGCAACGTCCATAATCACAATCGTATAAATGAAATTTTTGCTTGATGACATTTTTGTGGTGACACGTCACATATTTTTGTGATCAGTTACATATTTCAATCAGCAACTGATAAATTTTGTATTGAGATTGCATTGAACAAAAATATAGGTTAGAAACTTGGCACAGTTTTTGTATGCTAAGATCATATTTTGTGATCCTGACTGTTGTTTACAGCTTGGTAGTACAGTATAATGACCGTTACCAAAGATAATAAATAGCAGAAGATACTGTAGAGCAGTTTCCCTATATAGTGGAACATCCGTTGAGAAGGCATCGTGGGTACACGGAGAGCAATTTTACTGCAACCGCGCGGCGGCGCTATATAAAAATAATAAAGGCGCTGCTCTTGTTC